AGCTGTATACTTTAAATTCTGGAGGACATACTAAGTACTAGAATATTATACATTTTCTGAATTAAGTCTAGGGTGTACTCATTTCTGCAATCCTTCATTTAAACAAAATTGGCTAATTTACTTATTTTACAGAAACTATTGGCATGTATTTTGTTGTTTCCATTAAGTATATGTTTACCATGTTTCAATTTTGCCATCTTTCCATTAATTATATGAATTATATTAGTGATCATTAAGAAAATACATATTTTATATTTTATATATCAGAGGGGGTGTACTCATTTATGCTGTGCACTATATATATATATATATTTATTTTTTATTTTTTTTTTTCTGGTCAGAAATTACTGGCCTACAAAATATTGCTTATTAATATATACATATATGCACTTACAAAAAATCATATAATAAATAAAGTAAATAAACAAACAAACAAACAAATAAATAAAAATAAATCAAGCATATTGGAATCATGTAGAAAGATGGCTATTCAAATTCAGATTTTTCTATGCAGTCCTTCGTGGACCTCCTAAGCTGCTAAACTGTAAAAAAAAAAAAAATTTTTTGAAGTAAATAAATAAAACGAATTATATATATATTATTTTCTACTTAAAATTTCACATGAATTCAATGTTTTACTTGCTGTTCCTTTGTTATTTAAATATGAAATTTTCTTGCAATTTCTGAGTGAATGACAACTTTTTCTGGTGTAGTTATCATACAAAAGAAAACTTCCAAGAGAAGCTAATTCGAATTAGCATTAACCAGTGCTAATCTTTTAAGGTCATGGTGTAATTGCACAAAGTTACAAATTTGACAAATACTGGGCTGTTCCTCTGATCCTATGGGATTGATTTTGGTTTTTTATTTGTTTAGTCATATTTACAGACATTCATGTGTCAGCATATTTTAGTGACAGATAATCATTTTCACATTGGCCAACCTGAAACTGCACTTGCTGAAAGCAAATACTGAATCAACACACACCCAAACACACCCAGCGCACCTCTCACACAGCCGTGTGATTTAACACACTCTGCATTTGTCTTTTCTAGAAGAGGGCGTATATGTATGTGTGTGTGTGTGTGTGTGTGTGTGTGTGCGCGCGCGCGCGTGTTGTCATGTCCAGGTGCACAATAGCATTTAAACAGGCTCAGGATTCAGAGTGAGGTGAATAGCTATAAATAAAGACAGCCACGTTCCCTTTAAAACCGAGGTGTGGAGATGAGCAACCGGATGCTGTGATATCCAAATTCCGGACATGAAACTCAGTTTATCCCAAAGCATAACAACAGTTGTCATTGTCAACATTGTCAAAAACAACAGATTATTCATGTAATGATGACTCTTGTCAAGTGGGGAATTTTGACATTGCCTTTATGTGTTTAGTATAAACACTGACAAATTGTTTTGTCATGAACCATATGTGTATGTCACAATCCTTCGATCTGAATCATATAGCGCATTCATATGATATTACAAATATTGAGTTTTGGTGTCAGTAATGCTGACCGCACCGCACCTCTGGTCCTCTCTGAGACAATACAGTCATTGTTTCTCAATTCACATCCACCCGGGCCTTCATTTAAATCCTGAACTATCAACACATCCAGTGATAAGAGAACTAGACACTCCTTGAATGACAAATCCCAGAGAGAAGATCTCTAGTGTTAATTCAACACAAAGAAAGAATCACGTTTTGAAACATTAACAGTATTATCTTTCTCTCGGTTTAATGTTTGCTTTATGTATCCTTCCCCACCAGAGACTTTTCTGGAACAAATATTTCATGGGGACTTTAAACTCATAACCTTTTGAAAACATTCCTTTATTCTTCACAAAAGTAAGAAAAACCTTTATAAAGACATTTTTGATTCATCTTTTTCACTTCAAAAAGGGGAGAAGATATGCGTAGAGAGACAGGAAAGCGGTGAAGAAGCTCTCCTGAGTGCTGGAAGGAAGTGCTCTGGGGAGACCACCATGTAGATACTCCAGTGCCTCGCAACATGGAAAAACAAGAAAGAGCACGGTACGACAAAACTCAGCGTGCAGTCAAAGAAGTGAATGTTTGTACAGCGTGAGCAATGATCTTCAGATAAACTTGAGGAGAGAGAAGGAGCACACTGATTCCTCACATCCTCTTTTGTTTCCCCTCAAGTGGTAAAGAATGCAGATGGTACACATCAGGTGAACTTTGCCTTAAATAATGACAACAAAAGACATGGGAAAACCAATCCGCTTAACATTCTTCCATTAGGCGTTGACATTTGACAACTGCCACTAAAACCTACAGGATCATTAGGGCTGGGTAAAAATATTGATTTTCCGAATAATCGTGATCTTCATTTGAATGATCTTGATTGTTTTTACTGTTTGCCAGTGTTTCTTATACTGTCTTGAATGGTGGCACAACACTGCTGCTAAATCTGCACAGCATAAAATATATATTTTAGCTCGAGCTGGAAGTCTAAATTGAATGTGATAAAAATGTTATGTACTGTGCTCAATAATTACAGCTTGACTACTGTGGTTTCAATCACCATCAAATGATTCTTTTATCAGTTATTTTTAGTGAATCAGAATCATACAGTGCAACTCATGTTGTCCAATTAATGAACACATGACTCATGAGTGATTATTTTTAGTGAATTTAAAATATAAAGCTTAACCAGTGGGGTCTCATTCATTAACTTTTTTGAACTGGTTCTTTTTAGTGAATCAAAACTTACTGTGCAGCCAGCGTAGTCCGATTTATGAACACTTGTATATGAGCCAGTTCTTTTTAGTGACAAGTATGATTGATTCACAAACTCTTTTAAGACAGTTCTTGTTAGTGAATCAAAAAATACTGCGTGACCTATTTATGAACAATTGCCAGTTCATTCAGTGAATCATTTAATGAATCATTCGAAAAGATGTTTTATAGACTTTCGATCTTTCTGGAACTTACTCTTTCTGGTGTTCTTTTTTTGGAATTTATAATTCCAAAAATGAAATGTTCATGGGTTCACAATTTTCTAATTGTATAATAATGTTTATATATTATAATAATGAATCAAGTCGATACCCTGCTCTAAACTGGCTCTTTTTTTTTCTTTAGAAGTTTATGAATCCCTCTGAACTTCTTGAACCCTTTGCTTACTTTTGTGGTTAAGTAGAATGATCAAAAGTTGTACCACAATATTGTTAACAGCTTATGAACCAACCCCAAATGTGTCTGGGCAGGTTTTTATTCATGAATATCAGACAGAGTTCATTCACTTCAGGAAAGATGGTAAAAAAAAAATAAAATAATTAATGCCAATTGTAAACGGATGAACTCAAATAAGCATAAAAGAGAACTGAAAGTTCCATAGGAAAAACATTTTATTGAAAAACATTTTCAGTTTGTAACAGACTGGTGGAATGTGTGCCATTTCATTTCTATGACTTTATAAGGTTGCACGTCCTGACCAGATCTTACTGCGAGAGAAGGATGGGCACATGGGCCATCAGGGAAACGGTAGCAACAGAAAGATAACGGAGAAGTTGGGGAAAAACTCAAATGATAATACTGAGGTTGCGTACAAACTGGGTAGAAAAAAATCCGACAGAAAAAAGCAAAAACAAAGAACTAATTAAATAAATATCTATGGTACACACGTATGGCACAAATATGCAGCAAGCAGTCAGTTTGGCAATTCTCTATCTCATTTTTCATTTTTAAACCAGATCACCATGGGAACAGTGCAAAAGGGTTGAGTGGGAGGGGTCTGACGAGTGCTAGCTAAAATACATAGCAAAAAATTCCAATTCTATACAAAACATCTTACTTAAGAGTTTATAAAAAACGATTTATTGGGTTCGTCATCAATATTTACACAAGTTATTTACCAAAAAAAATTAGTATGCTCTCTTTTAACTGAAGTGATTTGTTTTTTTTATTTACTAGAAATGTGAGAATAAGGCTATCGTAACGACCGGGGATCCATATACAATACAAACAATAACGTATTTACAGCCTCTCACCTACAGATGTACGGTGCAAAAACTAGAGTCTCGTGAACTCAGGGTGACCATACAAGCAAGGCATTTTACAGTGGCCCGAAGACACTTCTCCCAGCGCTTCGCAAACCTTCCGCCCACATCGGTGCAACATCTTACGCTACCAGTTGAGTCCTACCGCTCCTAAAATGTTACAGGAACGTTTGCAACCTGCTTTCCGGGACAGTGTCTTCGGATTCAAAGAAACTAAGGAGATTGTCATATTTAGCCCATATAGGACAGCAACCGAACAGCAATGTGTTTGTAGTTTTCGTAGTATGTGTGTGTCTTCTAAAGTTTAAAACAACTGCTCAGTCTTCAATATGTATGTGTGTAAGAGTTCATGTTTCACAGTTTACCTCGAACCTACAGCACAAAGTAAAAAATCAAATAATAATAACACACCGGGGTTGTAGTGTTTTCGTATGCTGTATTGTTTCATTTAATTTTCAGTGGTTAAGAACACTTTTCCATAGGTGAACGTATATCATCTTTTTTTCTCAGTTGTTATAAAAATAAATAAAAATTGCATATTTGCAGATTTTGTGGCCTCTTACAGAGGCACAAAGCTCCGATCACACAAGGCTTGGCTTCTCGGTGAGATTCAAGAACCTCAATGAACAAGTGAAAACAAAATGGATGAACAGTTAATGTGCGACTATGGCGATCCACAGTCAGTTTGTGGACATTTTCAACTCTCAAACGATTTCGATTTCGACGTAAGAAACAAATGAAGATGAGCTGTCTGCAGGCTGGCATTGCTCACCAAGGGTTTCACACGAATGACGACAAAAAGTTCCAGTTCCAAGTTCCTGCGGGTTTTGGGATACTCTGGCCTCTGCTCGGCGACTTCCTCTCTAAAACGCACGCTAAGTCCACTTGTGACCTCCATCGATCATAATGTGTTTTTTCCCCCCTCCAGAAACCTCCCACAATTTGAGCCTGAAAGATCTCATTTCATGCAATTTACTACATTTAGCCTGCACTCGTTCTCATCTGGTATGCTTGCTAACCCACGTCTACTGCTTTCCTTCCAGATTAAGGGGCCTAATTTCAACCCAGAGCACATCTGAGCTTCATCAACAGAGACAGGCAGGCCGGAGAAGTTGGTTTAGCCAGGACTCTGTTCGACGTGCCCTTCCTTTGGTCCGTTTCTGGCCCTTCCCTCTCATTCCTTTCGGCTATTTTAAAACCCAACATGCTGTTTTCCCTGAGGGCTCCTTCCAAAGCCGCCCCTTCCTTGGCCATGAGCGCATGTGCTTTTTGTGAGGGTATGTGTGTGTGTTTGTGGTCGAAAGGCAGCTATTCATGTAGGGATCGATGGGAAAAAGCAAATAGCGAGATTGAGAAATATCTGTTAACGAAAAGGAAAACTTGAAGCTTGCATAATGTGCAGACTCGCCATAAATTATTCATATTCTTGCTGTCTCACGCCGACCTGTCTGTACGCTAGCATAAATAAAGTCTACGTGCACTCTTTCCAAGCGTTTTCATCTAGCGCTAAACAAATCCATAAAGAAACACTAATTAAATCTTTTGTTTCATTTCAACTAAACAATTAGATCTTGATGTCCCTGCGCTTTTGAGCGAAAAAGTAGAGCACCAGTTCCTCTCTTCCACAATCTGCACTGGCCACTGGTGAAGGAGAATGTGTGTGTGTCTGTGTGCGATGGCAGAAATACTAGAAAAACAGGAACTTTTGCAGCGACATGCCTGGGGAAGGCGGCCATTTTGTGTTAAAAATGACAGATTTTGCTAATAAGCCTTGAGTGATTCGCTCCCTGCTCTCTCTCTTAATGTGTTTTCTTGAGTTTGTACTCCATGTGGGAAAAGTGGTGAGGCTTTCAAAGTGCTGCTAATGTGTTCAAGTGGGTCCTCCACCTTCCCAGCAGGCAACAGGACAGCAACTGTACCAAATATCGACGTTCTTTCCTTCCTTCTTTCTCTATGTGTCTCCTTTTTCCAGTCCTGGAAGCAGACGTATACGAAATGAAATGTGTGTATGTGTCTTCCACGCTACTAAACAGCACATAAACCAGCACAAAAGGATCTCTATGACGATACCTATTAGTCTTCTACCAAACTAATCTGCAAGTGGACTGCACTGGGAATGACAGAAAAAAATACAAGACGCATGACCATACAAAAAGACTTCAAGTAAACATCGTGAGTCATTTTGTAGAGGTGAGCAAATGAGGAGAGCTAACGTAAATGAAAACAGTACGAGTGAACGTGCAAAAACAGATGATGTCCATTCAAATGTCCAACAGTAGGCTCCGGAGAGCTTCCCGCTTCCTCGATAAATCCACTTCCTGTAGCTCTGGCCAATAGGCTGCATTCACTATCTGTTTCGAGATGGATCAGCCAGTCGGCCAAGCTAAATAAACAGCTCAAGTTCATATGTCTTGCTGTGTGATACTGTCACGTCACTTCTCTTCTCCATCTCCGTGTGTTGTGTCTTTAAGGGAGATGATGTAGTAGAAAAAAGAGGAAGAATCATTGTCTTGACCTCTCTTTTCACGGCCACCCCCTCAACCCCCCTCTCCCCCGCTCGTTTGATTCACACACGCTCCCTCGTACACACACTATCCGCTATAGTGCACGTCAATCTCCCGAAGGGTTTCTGTTTTCTTTTTTGTCATTTTTTTGAGTTGTTAGTTTAGTTTTTGCAGGTGCAAGAGCAGCGAATCAGGAGTGTCACTCCACCATCAGCAACATCTATACTGAAAGTAATAATCAGGAATATTTTAAAATAAACAAGAACAGCAAAAAAATAAGAGGGGGCAGGACGAGGGTGAGCTCTGGCATCAATGCCGCCCACGGGGGGTTCATTGAGGGGCATGTGGGGGGTTAGAGTTAAAATGTCCGAAAGAAGCGTGTCCGTTTTCACACTTTATAATAGATGTTTGCTGGGCTTTGGGGAGGCATTTCCTGTACGATGTAAACGGGGTGTCCGTAATCGCCGCTCACTTTCTCGTAATGCGGGCAGAAGACGCTGTCAGCAGTCCGCAGCGGGATGATGATGTCGCTCGGCTCCGAGCCGTTGTTGTTGCCGCCGCTGCCGCCCCTCTTGGGCGTGGCTAATGTACTGAGTGACAGCGTGGTGGCATGCTGAGGCGAGTGTTTGCGATGGTGTCGTCGATACTTCAGCAGGAGGAATACCAGCATGATGATGATGATGATGACAATGACGCTGGCTGAGGCGATGCAAGCAAACAGGGCAACCTCTGAGCCGATGACTGATGACGATTTATTTCCATCTCCCTTCTCTTCACCTTGATGAGCTGCATCTATGTGGGGAAAAAACAACATAAATTTAGTAAAAAAAAGCAATGAGCAACTAGTATTAATGACTGTTCACATTGATAACTATAAAAATTCATGATAACTACAATAATTTAACATTGGTCTAGGGCTGTGCGATATGACGATTTTTGATCGTGGACGATTAAAATGTCTCCACGATCTGCTTTTGAAGAAATATCGTAGTATCATCCTACAGCGCATATTCTATCACTTAAAGTTCGGGCACCTCCGTTTAAATATACTGTACAACGCGACATACATTCACATCAAATGTTAACTCAGTGGTAGAGTTACACTCACGGCGAGACACTGCACTTATTCGCAATCAAAAAAGTACATTATTTGCGTTTGCTTTAAAGCCTTGCCAGTTAAACATTTTGTTTGCGCGCTGTTCTGACATGCGCTTTTTCTGAGTGCGTAGCGCAAATTGAAAAGCCTGTCAAACAGTGCCTAATTACTGAACTAAGTTATCTTCCACGTCTAATACTGTCAAAAACACACAAGGTTTACATATAAACACACTTGGTTATGTCTAAAGTGAAATGAAACCGTTGACAGAAAAACGGATTCTATATTTTGTTACCTTGAAAGACTTTGTTTTTAAAATAGGGAAATTAGTTTAGCTGTACTGCTTAGACAACTTGCAAAATAGTAAAACCAACATGACAAAGAATCGTGATAAAATCGTGATATTCCTGAAAACAAATCGTGATATGATATTTTTGCCATATCGCCCACCCCTACATTGGTCTGAATGCTAATATATAATTATAGTTATCTTTTTTAGTTATCGTTCTTGGTGTGAACAGGCTTTCAGATTAGAATGGAAATGGCATACTCATGAGCAATTAAAAAGATGCCTTGACACTAAATGAAACGTCTTTTATGTATGGTGAAATAAATTTACATGTATTTATTTAGCAGATGCTTTTATCTAAAGCAACTTTCAAAGGAGAGAAAACAAGCGATTGATCATAAAAGAGCCGACGGTATTAGCAGTGCTGTGAAAACAAATTTCAAGAAGAAACCAGAGTACAAATCTTGAGTAGTAGTGTAAGTGCTGTAGAGAAAAGAAAGATAATTTTTAATAAGAAGTGCCTTTATCTAAATGGTTTAAATGAATTAGTTATGTGCTTGTGGAAGCCACCAGTTTTCAGTACTCTCAAAAATGTGTATTAGGATAGATAACGTCCGTGGTGGTGGAAAACTGTGGACAGAGTGACCTCACATGGCTTTGGACTCCAGTGAGTTTGTCTGGCGGAACAGATGAGCTGCTAACGCTCACACTCAGGCTGTTTTACAAGTGGATTATTGTACCTAAGACACTCCACTCAAATGATTTTGATGTCCATATGCTTCTACGTAGAAGCTGAATTCTACAACGAATGCGTCTGTCTTGCTCTGTCACGTTAACGTTTGCTTGTCAGAAGGATTTTATGAGAACGAGTCAGCGTGCATGTCATTGTGACAGAGGACTGGCACTTGCTCAGCAAAAAAGGGATTAAAAAGCAGAGAGAATGATGAATCAGTGAGCGTCCCCTTACAGGTGTGTGAGGTGATAAAGTGTGTGACGTACCCGGCTTGTCAAGTACTTCATTCGATTTGGTGTTCTTGCCCCCTACGTCGGGGTGTTTTGGAGGGTAACTGGTGGGGTATTCTTTGGGGGAAAAGGGATCAGAGGGGTCTGCAAAACATAGATAAGAAACACATTCATCACTCTGATATATGTATGCATTTTCATGTGGAGAGCTATTACTTTCACGCTGCTCAGCGAAATAAAAGTGTGTGTGTGTGACTGATAGCAACCATGAGAGTGTGTATGTGTGTGTGTTCGTCATTAAAACACAAGCAGCCATGATTAATCTAGTGACCTTCAGCTTGTGTCTGTATATTTGTGAGAGAGCGAGAAATTCAGTCGCTTGTGTTGGTGGGTGTGGCCTATGGTAATTACTACTAGGGTTGCAAAGGGGTGGAACATTTCTGGAAAGTTTCCAAAAAAATCCCTGGAATATTCCCAAAAATCCTGGAAAGTTTCCCAAATTTCTGGAATATTTCTGAAATTTACTGGAAATTTTCCACCTTTTTGCAACACTAATTACTACTGATGTCACTGGTGAGGTGATTTATGAATAATCGTCATTAATTACAGCGCAGGGTCTGCAGCCTCTCTTTTTTTGAGTACATGTTGGACTGGCTTAAAAAATGAAGTGAGGAAAATGGTAACACTTTAATATAGGGAACAACTTTCACTATTAACTAGTTGCTTATTAGCATGCCTATTATCATCATATTGTCTGTTTATTAGTGCTTATAAAGCTCATATTCTGCATGACCATATTCTACATCCCTAATCCTACCCAAAACCTGTGTGACCAGGAAAACTAGTTTTCTTGCAATTCGACTTTGCAATAAAATGAATTTGAACAGAATTAAGCCATTTGACGTCATTATCTGTTGCTAAACAAACTATCAGCAGTATTCTGGCCATTGGTCCCACGTGTCCCATGTGGGCTTTTAACCGAACAATGCAGCTATGCCATGTGCGTGTGTGTCCGCGCCCGGCAGGCTTGCGGTCTATTGGGTCAGTAACACAGAGCTAACGAGCTGCCAAGGGCTTAACGTTTGGTCAGCGTCCAGAACAATGTGGCCTGCATTCAGAGAGCGAGAGAGAGAGAGAGAAAGAGATGGGGGAGGGCGGTGATGTTAGAATCTATGAGGCGCCTGTCCCCCCATCATCACTTTTTTTTTTTCGAGGCTGCCAAGGATGGAGTGTGAGTGAGTTATGATTGTGCCATGTGACGGATCCTTCTGATTCTACTTTTCTTCTTGATCTGTTTGTTAGGACTGCACCATGACACCATCTGACTCTCTCTGTTGCTTCTTTAACCTGTGGCTTTGTAGTGTTGAGAAGAACACAAGCGCATTACATGTAAAGCTCCTTAAAAGCTTGCGTTCCTTTCATAAATCTGGCAAATGAGCCTAAACATGCACGCATTAAAGCAAACACATTGCTAAACAATATTCACATGATGATTTCACATTGCAGGTCAACAGTCACATGACACATGCGGTTCATTTAGTTTTAGTTTAAGTGACGAGTTGATTAGAATACAAAGACACTTTTGAAGCACTTCTTCATAGATGAGTTTTAGTGAAAGAATGTTTGACTTTGAACTGACCGACCGGCTGGCAAAGAGTATTTGTGTGTGGGAGAGGTTTGGCCTACATTGTGAAGGCCAAATTTCCCCAGAAAAGCCTGAAACCTACTTTGTGGAGAGCAGCAAGAGGGTTCCATGAAGTAAAAAAAGGTTTAATAAATAAGCTAAATACTTTAATTGAAAAATAAGGCAGAAAATGTTCCATAAAAGAATTAAAAAAAAAAATCATTAGAGTATAAAAACAATAGAGGTCAATGGAAAGTGCCCACCATAATAGAAAAACACGTACTGTTAATATAGTTCAATAACTAAAAACCTCCCTTTGGGGCCGTCCTCAGCTGGAAAATGATTCATAAATAAAATATATTAGTAAAATATAATATTAAATAAATCTATTTTCACTATAAAATGGAGAAGGTTTTGTTTTAGCGGTACAATTAGGACAAAGCATATGAAAAACAGAAACTACAACAAATAAAATAACGAAAAAATGAAAAGGAAAGAAATGAAGGTTAAAAATAGTTATGACCCCAGCTAGATAAATGTGTCTGTGTGCTACATGAGGACACAAAAACTCAATACTGACACCAATACCTGTTTGGTGAAACCCTATCAAGCTCAAACAGGCTGCGAGGTATGTCAAGTCCTGCCATGACAAAAGGGCAACCAGTGGGACAGGACTGGAAAGCGACACCATGCAACAGGCATTAAATGCTTAGAAATTTTGCATAGTATTATACTGAAACATAAATAGATTTTTTTAATAATAATAATTAATATCAATAATTGAACAATATAGCTACTTGAACGTGAATGTGAATGTGAATGTGAGTTGTGATGATGAGCTGTAGTGTTGTGGAGTTTGACCTGATCAACATGGCGTCAGGGTCACAGAGTGGTGAACAGCACCAATAATGAGAGCTGACACACAACAATACACACACACAAACAAACATTGCACATCTACTCTAATAAGATATGGCACCGCACCTCGAAAAGCCCTCACTGGCTTTGAACAAAGCCAAACAACATGTCTCTCTCTTTATATCTCTCTTTCAAAGTCAGCAATGATTCACTGGCATGATTATTAACGTTTATAATATTGACAAAGCATATGAAAAACAGAAACTACAACAAATAAAATAACGAAAAAATGAAAAGGAAAGAAATGAAGGTTAAAAATAGAATACAATGGAAATTAATTTAAACTCTATATATGATTTAATGTTATAAATCACTTATCACTTATCAGCAATAAATGTTCATAATCGTTGGTGTCTAAAGACATGCTCGCCCTCAGGCAATGGCATGCTGTTACATTACATAACTAGTTGCTAAGGGATAATGTTTTCATTTTTCATCATCTGTCAGTATAGGGAAGTCTGAAAAAAACTAATTCAGAGAATGTGAAATTGTCTTTCTCTGAACCTGCAACTGAAATACCTGCTAAATGTTTCTGCCAATCCCAGGACACACACAACTTTGAAGAATAACCAGTCATAGACTCCGTCCTAATTAAAACTGATGAAACAATAATTAAAACTGTGGATGTAAACCAGTTACATTCAGCTTTTTAAGCACTACTTGCTTTTTTGTTGCCAATTAACTTTTATTCTATTCTTAAGGGACACAATTTCTGAACGCATCTTTAAGATTTACATAGACGTAGTTTGTCTCTGCTTCATTCATTTGATTTAATCTTTCTGCAGATTGTATTCTTTTTTATGAAACATTCTTGCTCTCTCTAACTCTCTCTCTCGTGCCATATTTAGATCATGTATCTCTCTTCTGGCTCCCAGCTCGAGGGCAATCTGTCAGACCAGATCACATCAAGCTCATAGTCACACACAAACACAAACACAAACACACACACACACACACACACACACACACACACACACACACTCATATGCTCCCAGCTCGAGGGCAATCTGTCAGACCAGATCACATCAAGCTCATAGTCACACACAAACACAAACACAAACACACACACACACACACACACACACACACACACACACACACAATCATATCAGAGTCATCAGCATCAGGCTGCATATGAACAATAGAAGAGCCATTTGAAAGTTTGGCCAGCACACACCAACACACACCAGGCCTCAACAATAAAGCAATAAAGGTGGACGACGACCCGGGGTCAGAGTGAGTGAGGTTTAGGCCAGCTGACCAACTGCATGCTTTTATCATATGCATATTTTGAACTAACATTTTGTATGAAAAGGGCCTGTATGTTTTTTTTCTTTTTCTTCTTATGCTTATGTAGGCTGCATTTATTTGAACAAATTAATGTAAAAACAGCAATAAATGTTTTCTATTTTAATGTAATTTATTTCTATTATGGCAAAGCTAAATTTTCAGCAGCCATTACTCCAGTCTTCAGTGTCACATGAACCTTCAGAAATTATTCTAATATGTGATTTGGTGCTGAAGAAACATTATTATCAATGTTAAAAACAGTTGTGATGCATAATAGTTTTGGAAACCATAACACATTTTTTCAGGATTCTTTGATCAACAGAATGTTCAAAAGAACAGCTTTTTTTTTTTTTTTTTGGAAGGAAGCCCTTTAATGTTTAATGAACAATATGTATATAATTTTATATAATAACACATATTAAAATATGTTCCTCAAAAATAGCTGTTTATCGTATTTATGTGAAAATGTTGTCAGGTCAAGTAAAAATCTATACGACTGGCCTAAAGAAAAAATCCTCATTGTTGAGTCCTGCACACACACACAGACGTTTGGCTTGCTGGACACATTTATAAGGGATTGAAATCATCTGATTGGTTTCTAAGCAGATCCAATTGATAAAGACAGAGTGATTAAACTAAGCTATTAGGATTAAACTTTTTAATTAATGACTTATTGAATAACCCCCCCAAGCACACACAGCAGTCATACGTCTCTGCACTTCACAACTCCACACACCCACACACTGTCGCCTCTGGCTTGCTTAGTTGGGGACACTTCATTTCCAGCGATATCTGCCTTTGTGACCTGACAGGACTTTAGCTGTTCCAGAGGAACCATATAGAGTTTATAATACTCCACTCCTTCTGTTGAGCCGCCCTCCACGCGTGGGCAAACTATGTCCATCTTATCCCCGATCTGTGGATACAGCACCAGACCCTGTCCTGGCACGAACCTTTGAGAGAAAGAGAGACGGAGAGAGAGTGAGACACATCATAGATGATAAATAATATTCAAACTGTTCTGGATCGCTATCTCGCTCATGTCTTATCGCTACGCAAGCTTATTTGAAAAGCCTTCGCATATGTGTGCGGTGTGTTTGAATATTTGCCAAGGGATCGTTCAAAAGAAGAGGGTGAGACTCGTAAATTCCCAGAGTAAAACATGTTCACACCTTAAAAGTTTATACACACACCTACAAAACCACAAATCTGCTCTGTTTTCTCATTTTTTTTTTAAATACAGTTTTTTTTTTTTTTTTTACAGTGATGCCAATGAAGAACTATTCTGGGTTCAGTGAACATATTTTTTGGTAAAAAAAAATAAACATTTTAATAATCTGAAGAACCTGTTTTCCACTATAAAGAATCTTTTGTGCATTGGAAACATTCCGTGGATGTTAAAGGTTATTCATGGAGCCATTAATACCAATAAAGAATCTTTACTTTCAACAGTGTACATTCATATATATATATATATATATATATATACCACATGCTAATTATATTAACCTCTATTTAATGAGCAAATACAATTGAGCAGTGAAACGGAGAGATAGGCCAAATGCAGCATGCTAGTTGCTATATACATTGCTGCAGCCCACAGTCAGTCATTATCCTAAACCACAGGGCATATAAGGTCACCCCACAGCCCATACGCACACATTCCAGTATTAAAAGGGTGTTTTACATGTCTGTATTTTACAGGAGCCGCTGTTAAAACAGTCTAGTTTTAGTTTTGAGTAGGGAGCGGGATGTAAAAGTGGGGGGTAGTTGAACAAATAAAGCCAGAGGTCACACTCATGTTTGTAAATGGCTTTAATCCTCGTCTAAAAGACACACTTTAACCCCCCAACCTTAGCCTTGGTGATTCTCCCAGTGGTCGTAAATATTCTGGGACATGTGAATGTGAAAAAGAAAAGGATGACAGAATAAGGGTTTGCACACGTTTAACACAGACCGCTCATTCTGTTAACAAGACTGCAGCTGCACACAGAGAAGCCATTAAGTCGGAAAAGGCACACGTCTGTGTAAGAGCGAACGGTCAGGACATGTGCAGTACATCTAAGAAGACACGGCTGTGCCACTTGAGGACGTTTCTCCATAATTTTATTTGTGATCCACATTTTTTCCCTCTCATATCTGTTTTTTATAGTCACAAAGCATCTGTTTTATCTTTTCTTTTTGTCTTCTTCCCACTGACTCATTCACTTGTGCTCAGGCGGAAATATTCTTTTTTGGAAGCCTTTCTAAAAGCACTTCAAAATGAAGCCATTTAAATAAACTTGCTCATAGACATTAAAGCAAAAGAAAAGAGAAACTCACTAACAGCGGTTAATGAGTAGAAGACTTTCAGAACTCTCTCTGGCAACTAAGGCATGATATAAACGATAAAACTGAAGCTGAGAAACAGGTGGGCTGGATGGACGTCTGAAAGGCGTTAAAGAGTAAAGGATAAGTTACAGTGACAGCAGTGGCCTAATCCTGCCCCAATAGGAACACAGCGCTTTAACCCGAAGATCTGAAACAACACTGGGCGACGGATGCATATAGGCGGAGGGAACTTAAGCTGTTTGACTTTCAATCATCAGACCAATATGGAGGTTCATTGGGCATAGAAAGATGTAGACAGAGAGCACAGGACAAAATAAATCAACAGACATCTCACGGTTTAATCGCTCCATCATGCTTTGCAACCGAGACCTGCATCGGGTGAGAGGGCAAATCAACCAGACAGGCGCCTTATCCCTTTGTCACCCTATATCCCTTCATTCTTTCCTGTTTTCCTCATCTATTCAATCCATAGTCCCGAAAGACCCCGTCTGCTCTCTCCTCACATTTTAAAGCAACACAAATGCAATTTAACAATCAACTTAGACGTTACACTTTTCCCTCAGCCCCTTTCCTTCTCCTCGCTCTCTCCCAGCGGCAAAACAATCCCAGCCATCTGCTAATATGACGACAACAAATTTGGAAAATGGTTAACTCGGCATCTAAATCATAACAGCCTTTCGCTAGCAGTCTATCATGATGTTTCTGCACCCCTAAATGCAGAAGGGGGGAAGGGGTAGTTATTATTCATGGCCCACTCGGCCCTCGTTCATTCATGCTATATCTGCATGTGTATGAAGCCATGGATGCGCCCCCGTCAGAACCCTGCTAAGCGATGTAATCTCCTAATGAAGAGAAGGGGGAACCTCCTTTGACTGAAAACGTGTAGAGCAGACTGCTTTTGTTTCTCCACCTCCAACAAAATGGATTACCAGAAGGAACAAGAAAGAGAGGGAGAGAGAAGAGAGAGGGGAAAGGAGTCTTTACATGCCTGACGCGTCAGAGGTAAAGCAGTGGAGGAGTAAAAAGTACTGTGCACTGGATTGACACACATTTTTGCAATGGGAGAAAAGAAAAAAACAGCTGTCACGCAAGTTTTTGCGTGACAGAGATTGAGTATTATGGTTGTCTCATGTACAGAAGGCCATAGGGAGTACAGTACAGATTTTAAGCACACCCCTCCTATTATGCAGCACTGATACTTTAGATGAAGCGCTAGTCAGTACTCACAAACATTATGCCTATGGGATTTCTCTCTAATCTTCAGATAGTAAGTTGTTATTTTTTGTTTATTGAGTATTTGTTTCTGAAATGAAAATGGAGTCGATACGAGACGGGAGTCAGGTTCTCCTCAGTTCATCTATTATTGAAAAATAAATTCATACCATGAAATAATTTAAAGCCAAAGTAAAAAAGGAAGCAAGCAAGACAGAAAGCAAATGCATGAAAATATATTTGAATGTAACAAGACTCCTGCCATTTCCCAGCGTTTTGCTCTATTTATCTTATCAGGTGGTAAAAATGCAGCCGCCAACGCGAATGCTATCAGTGCCATCACCATTTAGTCCTGCGCTACAAAGAACTATACGTCGTTGAACTGCCACAACAGAACGGCAGGAATGTGCGCAGTGAGTAATTCCATGGAACGCCGGCTTGCCTGGGGAGAATGAGGCCTGCATATTTACAGTGACACACACAATAGAGAGACGCGCCGTTGGAGGTCACTTCATGGTCGCTCTGGGTCTCCATCAATGAAGATGTCACAATAGATATCGACATGGTGGTGACACGTCACATTCAGTGTCTAAATGATATACAAATTGAATGAACTAAAATAATTTGTAATTAGAATTACAAAGTACTCCACAAAAACATAATTACATACTAAATACAATTACGCAGGACTTACATATGTAATCACCCAGAAACATAATCTTTAGTGTAAAGTGTAATGAACATGGCTCGCTTAGAACTGTAACAAACTGTGAATAGTCTAAAATACTCTCACACTTAAAGAATTTCCACTATTGTTCACAATTGGATATTTTAGAAATCGTTAGACAGATTTCCATTTGTATGCCAAGTACTAGGCTACTCTTTAAATTAATAGAATTTTACTCTACAAAAGCACTTTTTACAAAAGCAATACTTGCAATATTTGGGGAAATATAAATATTTAATTTAAACTATAAAAATTTATATTCACTATACACTCTAAAAAATGCTGGGTTGTTTCAACCCAACATTGGGTCAAAAATTGACTAACCCAACTTTTGGGTTAAAAATGTAATTAAAAAATTTAACCCAACGGTTGGGTTAGTCCATATTTGACCCACAGTTGGGTTGAAACAACCCAGCATTTTTAAGAGTGTAGACATGGCCACAACTTTTCCATGACATTTCATCACTCATCCACGCCAAATAAATTGGCATACTGCAATATAGTTAAACCATTAGTAATTTTAATTGTTCAAGTTCCCTATAGACTATATATATATAAAAAAAAAACTAAAATTATGTCTTATATAGGAACAATGTAAAAGTAAGTTAAGTGGAGTGGGCCAATCACGAGCACATTCAGCAAAATTGAATCTCTCAATGCAACACGTCCTCTTCTTCATTTGTTCCCCTCACGGCAGAATTTCCTACAAATACAGCAACGAACAGTCACCTCTTTCTTAATAACGCATCCATACTAATCTATTTTCTCTCTCAAGATAATTAACCCGACAAAATTTTTATTTTTTTATTAAGTTATTTCTCTTTGAGCTTCTAAATAATTAATTAAATAAATAAATAAATAAATAAATAAGCTCTGTAAAGAAGACCGAGGATCCTCTCAACAACTGAATCCCAGCGCATACTGTGCAGAGCAAAGCCTTTTAGATCAGGTACACTCTTATTAATTACCGTACTTAAGGACGCTTGCGATACTGCCAGAGGACTAAAGACAGCCGCTCGTTTACCTGTGTGTGCTAAAGTCCGTAATTATCAACACGGGACACCTGTTATGCGGTCTATTCATGCTGCCCCTTGCTCTGTACATGCAGGGGTAAAAGAGAGAAGTCTTTCTCTATAAAAATGGGCCGAGAGCGAAAGCTGCATTATTGAGTTTTTATACGAAGCGCTCGAGACTCCGGCGCGGGGCACGAGACCCCTTCGGATTTCAGCGTTACTTGATGTTTCGATGTTTTAATGCATGATTCAGCGCCGATGTGCTACGCATGTGCTCATCTTGACATTTTTTACCACTGACTTCGCAGTAACTGAGGACTGAGGGGAAAAAATGGCTTTCAAGAGAAATTTGTAAAGAATTATACACGTAATTACGCTAAAGGGCTTCGTCAAGTCTGATACTAACACATTAGAAATACATAAATAAATAAATAAATAAATAGCTTATACCACGACCAGGAGAAATAATAAAAACTATGAAAAGGATAATTTGTTGAAAACGGTTTGTATGTCTGATTTTAAATCAGATTGCCATGGTGAGAATTACACAAACATTTTCTGAGGTGAAGGACTTGGGGCCTAGGCTACGCCGTTCAATAAAACATTATGCCTCAGCTGGAAATGTAACCAACACTTGTTCAATGAACGTTTGTCTATATTAACACGAAATGTCACTCCTTTGATTTCCTTTAAATTAATTGTTTTGTTGAAATCATTTCGTGTCATGAAACAGATCACATCACCGTCCGTGAGTAAAAATCCTCTCAAGGTTTATGACCTGAGGTCCAGTGGGGCCATTCAAAACTATTATCATTTCTTTTTCTTTCCGCCTCAAATTTACAAGTTAGCACGGGGAATTATTAATTACTGTAAAATGCGACAAATTTTTTTTTATTTTTTAAATAATGTTCTAAACCCCTGTGAGTGGAAGCAACGCGTCACTCGCCTCAGCTCGATGATCCACATCACCTGCTATTCATTTTCATTTACAGAAGAACGCCTTTACACCGTACAAAGCCATTTATCCTGCTTTACCGTACATGCTTTTACCGACACTCCCAGGGTCTGAACGTGGCTCTAAGTGGGTGAGAGAGGGTTAGTGACGGAGCTTACTTGGTATTCGTCGTGTTCCAGTATATGGAGTCCAGGATGATCGCGCGGGACAGGTTCACCTTGCACGCGATGACTAGAACTCCAAAGTAATATCTCCACAGAGAGTCGCCCATGGTCCGTTACGACCGTTACGGTCAAATTCCGTTCCGCGGGAATTTCTAATTAGAAAAAAGAAAGCGTCTTGTTGGTGTGCTGCTTGTGACAAAACAAACTCAATATCCCCCGTTCCAGGAGAACAAGTAAAAAAATAAAAATAAATGCTTAATAGGAGCCCGGTTAGAAGTGAACCATCCCGAAGGGAAGAGCTACTGCTCTATTAGTCTTGCTCAAGATGAGAGAGAGCAGCACCGCGGACAGCAGGCAGTTTCTCATTCGGTAAAATAAACGATTGAGTGGAGCGCTCTCCTATCGACCGGCCGTGGGGAGCACGTACATTCCTCACAGGAAGGCGACCCGTGTCGTCGCCGCCGAAGTGCTGGATGTCCGCGGAGACATGGAAGTTAATCCCCCCGGTGTGGATCATAAACCAAGCAGGTACCAATTCCAAATGCGAGGTATTCCGTTCAGACGGGCAAACGAGGGGAAAAAACCACCGGAGTTCCCCAAAAAACGAATGAGGCAGTTTGGAAAAGATGAGCAAGAATGAATTAATTGCAGCCTATTGGATGAAGCAAAAAATAAGAATGACTAATGATAGAAAATAAAAATAAAATGAAACGATGAAGTCAAATGAAAGTTCTCATGGGTCGCTGTGGAACCCGCACAGTAGCAGAGAACAGCTGCGGCTTGATCCCTGCAGGTCCGGACTGAACTGCCGTGCGCGTGAATTGCGGGACTCTGCTCCGTTCTCTGCGCGAGGCTGTTCTGCAAGTAGCTGCGAGCGTCTACAGCACGGAATATTTGTCAGAGCGAGTTTTTCGCGGACTCCTCCCACCCGCTCTCTCATTGGACAGGTATCCATGGAGAGAAACCTGTCAATCAAGCGGTCGCCTGGCGACTGGTCGAGCAATGGGATAAGAATATATCGGACTTCAGGTCGCCAACCCAGATTTGAGTTCTTAGGGATTAATAACATTTCTGCATTTTAAAGACAACTCGGGGGAGAATGTGTATAATCGCAGCTGTTACAAAAACTACACCGAAAAACAGCAAACTGTACTAATAAGTACATAATATACTACCTACATGCATCCTAAGCATGTTTAATCACTACTCTTTCTCTTTATTATATTTTATAATATCATTGTTCATTTAAATAATTAATTAAATTGATATTATCCTGTTCCACGACACGCACAAAGGTCGATTTCAAGTCCCACATGGCCAACAATCTTAAAAGAACGGCGTTTATTTAGGTTGAGGTCGACAGAGAGCCGCCTGCTGAATGCGTGAGGAATTAATTCAGCAGTCAACAGCGCCTACTAGCGGCCAACTCAACCGAGCCAACTGAATGCGTAAGTACATCTGACTATTCTTCTTACATTAATGTATGAATTAAATAACAGGTTCATTACAACAATTTAGCACTATTTTTGTATTTTACACTGACAAAATATTCAATCATGATTTTTTTAAATTTAATTCAGAGTATCCATATGGTGATATAGACTACATTACTCTTATAGCATTATAAGAGTACATTAACTCTTAGTAAAGTTGATGCAGTTCAGTTTTACTTGTCAAATGCATTTGTCAAATGCAGTAGGCTACTGTTATCACAAACGCACCAATTTAAATAATATAATTTAAGTAAGAATAATACACTATAGTAGGCTATAGGCTAATCATAGTCAAAACAAGTAGCCTAACTACAAAAAAGTACAAATATGTAACATATGTTTTATTATATTATATGATATGATATTATATTATATTAGGCTATATTATAATATTATATTATGTAGGCTACAGACTGTTTAAGTTTAACTATTAAGTTCTGGAGAAATAAACAACTTAATTAAATGTATTTTCGCCATGTCTGGCCTTAAGGAAGCAGTACGTCTAAAACTAAATTAGGACGCAAGTGAAGAAAAGCCGGTGTGAAAAGCATTCACACTTTCCGAAGGCTGTAATTGAATCAGCGTACATTTAATGTTATCGCTGTGTATTGCTCTGCTGGTTTAAGAGACCATCAAACGCGCATATTTCACATCGAAGCGATAATTAACACACTACACATGCTGACTACACAGACTGAATGATTGCTGTGCATTAATGAAGCGGTTTATTAACGTGTTACATCAAAGAAACGCCAATTGCCTGATTACGAAGTCTATTTGTCTATGCATCTAATGGGTTAGATTACACATTTGTTTTTGTGCTACATATAAAGACATATTTTGTCAAAGCACCACTTACAAAGAGCTCCAAAGGTAATAAATTATTCACTTTATGCAATGGTAGTGTTTCTGAGAATGCCCCCACACTAGGCCTACCAAACAAACGTAAACAATAGGACGAGCTAACACAATTCAAGAAGAAATCATCCCAACGGGAAAACAAGGAAACAGCAATTTCCTGAACTAACTTAAAAATAACCAACGCAGATGAGTCGTGAAGATTTACAAGTGTCCTGGTAAAGAAGTATACGTGCAATTTTTAGCATACATTCTTTCTTGAGTGCTCCATTAGAATGTTAGAACAAATATAGCCTATGTATTCATTTTAACAACATTTATAAATTAACAATAATCTTAATCCACGTGCACTGGAATAGCCTAATCATTATAAATACATTTTAAAAATGAAAGGGAAACAAACTATTTTATCAAGATTCTTTATTTTAATTTTTTAGTTCTGACATATAAGTATTTCAAAGTAGCCTATTTACACTATCAGTTTAAACATCTCAACCTAAATGTTCCCTACGTCTCATGACGCTCCGTAAATGAAAAACAAACACCGCTTTACACATTCAAGATAAACTCTGAGCAACTTCTCAGCTCTTTGAAATCACGGGGTCAGATCGATGTTTATTCAGTTGCACGCGAATAATCTCACGGTCCGTGGGTCCCTCGGAGCGTGATCAAACGCAGTAGGTTACACTTACGAGAAAACACACCTGCTGGCTTTCCTACACTCACAAACAACAGCAAAGTATGGGCATTTCCGGCCAAACTTTACGCATCGCTTCTGAACTGATCATAACAGCCGCTGTAACTTCTGCCTGGCGCTGAACACTGTATTCATGTCAATAAAAGAATTGTGGAGTTGAGCGCGCAGGGTCGCAGAGTTTCGGCGTTACACCAGTCGTTCATCAGTGCGGCATTGTTAAAGCTGACAGTGACTAATACACACACAAGACTGCATCATGCGGGCTCGTCGAAAAAATCGCACGTCTGTGACAGAAGTGTTTGCCAACATTTCCATTAGCTTCTCACACAGGCCAACTGAGAACCTGAGGCAGCGACCAGAAGTAACCTCGAACTGAGGAATCAGAAATAAAACTGAAAGGCAGATTAGGTTATAAATCTTTAACTCAGAAGAAGGGTTAAATTCAATTCAGTTACTGGGTCATTTACCGAAAATGTGATTTTAAAAGTAAATTATTTAAGATTTTAAATATTCTACTAGATCAAAAAGTGTTATTAAGGAATATTGTGCCATTAAACTAAATGTAAACTTTATTAAATTATTTGTTGGGATAAAACTAACTTCAAAAAAGATCATAAGACTACAAAGTGTTTATTAGAAAAATAACAGGATATTTCTATAAACATTTTTAATAATTTGCTTTCTGTACAAAATCATGGTAACAGTTAAATGCTGTCCATTATTAACCATAAAGTATGATCAAATTATATATAAAAAAAAAAATACTTGTGCTTGAAGAGTTGAATGAATGGCGTTTTTGTAATAGAAGTTTTTCATCTTAATTAAAAGGAATTAATGGTAATGTTTTATGCATCTGTTGCATACATTTTATGCAGAAACACAAAAGACACCCTTTTTCATGGAAGGACCTCACTAGACCTTTTAATGAGGGCAGTTTCTTGGGATTATGTTTTTTTTTTGCTCTACAAATCCTCTAACACTCATTCTGCACTTCAGATGTTTTGTAAGACAGTTATAATATTAATTAATTTACCTTTAATTAGAATCTTGCAAAATCTGACCTTAAAGTGACTATAAAACTGCAAAGTAAGTTTAGATTTTACTGTAATTATCTTACAAAATAACAAATGACTGGTGTGTTGCAGAATATATGCAGAATTAAAATAATCGGTCAAATTAAGCAAGAGAGCGGTTACAAATTCCCAGAAGAGGACACTTGAGGTTCTAAACAAACTCCTTTGTGGTTTGCAGAGTGCCCAAGAAACATGATTCAGGCAATGTTGTGTTCATGGGATTTATTGGTCATCACACTAAATGTCCCAGTTCACAAGCAAAGGGGTAATTTACCACAAGACAAGAACACCCTCTAGCATACACTCATACACCCACACAAACTCGCTCGCATACACACCCTAACTAGTCTTACCTGCGATTCCCGATTTCCTTAAGGTACCAACAGAGCACTAGAAACATTACAAGACTTTGTAACATTGTAACCTTTTTTCACCAAAATGCTTGCATTATGAATGCTAAATAAGTTAAATTTTTCAAAACATTTTGGTGTACTTCCCCTATGCTTTGAACGCAAGAACAGTAGTTAAACTGAGCTTGTACCAACAGATCCCCCAAACCACTGATATATATATTGACTAACCAACCACGCACACTCATATACACAAATATTTACACTTATTATTATTTGCTTGCCATTAAAAAAGGGAGGGGGGGGGATGCCCTGTGTTTCTGAAGGTGCATCCAGCATAACGGTGTGCAATATCAATACAACACACTGAAAAAAGCAAAAGACGACAGCTGATCTGTACGTCTGTGGTGGTGCCTGCAAGTCCGGTTTTGAAGCGTGAGGATTCAAATGTTTTTTTTGTGGGCAGAGCGCACAGGGCAGACCTCTCTTTGAGACTCCAATTCACTTCAACATGAAGCACACATCAGAAGAGAAGAGAAATCACTCTGTTGCTTTGAGAGTGAAGGAGAGACGAGGTCGGGACTTGCCCTTCCCCAATATCATCCTCTGTTCCTCTTTCTGTTGTTTCTGCCTCTCCTGCTCTAGCTTCATGCGTTCCTCGTGGATCTTCCTTTGTTCTTCCACAATACGTAGCTGATCCTCAGCCTAAAACACACACATGAGCAAAAGTGACTCTTTCAATCAGCCAAGACAAACAGGTACACTTTAAATCTTTTGATGCACTAATACATAAACAAATGTACCTTAATTATCAAAACGATATGTACTAAGGAAAAAAAAACCTATGTTCACTGTATTCAGTACTACCATATACATAAAATGGGGGCACTGCCAAGCATCCATTTTGAAAGTTCAGACTAAACATTTCAGAGAGGGTAGGTTCTACCACAACAACACAAGCAGGAGAAAAAACAAACAAACAAAAACACTTGAGCATTCACAATGACTTAACGCAGTAAAAAACATCTAAACACTTCAAGTCAAAATCGTGAGGGGAAAAATAATTTCTGGCCATTTTGAGGGCGATACAAAAGGCCACAATTCTAATGACCTTGAAATGTATAAACATGCACCAAATGTCTTGTCAAAAATAACATTAGAGCTTTTAATTATCAGTGGACTTAGGATTCAATATGAATTCACTGGCTTGATCTCTGCATGGAACAGTGTATATTAGGGTTCCCTCCCCTTTTTGATCAATGAATTTCCATGACTATTCCAGATTAGCACTTATCATTGGATAAGAACTCTAAGAACAATTTCTTAGAGATCACATTCACAAATAATGATTTCTAGTCAAACAAATATTTAAGAGAATATTATTCACTATAGAAATGTTCAAGTTTTTCATGTTAATACTACTACTGAGTGATATCATGTTAATACTACATACAATATACAGGTGCATCTCAATAAATTAGAATGTCGTGGAAAAGTTCATTTCAGTAATTCAACTCAAATTGTGAAACTCGTGTATTAAATAAATTCAATGCACACAGACTGAAGTAGTTTAAGTCTTTGTTTCTTTTAATTGTGATGATTTTGGCTCACATTTAACAAAAACCAAAAATGATTTGGGGTGCAATGTCATCTGCTGGTGTTGGTCCATTGTGTTTTTTGAAAACCAACGTCACTGCACCCGTTTACCAAGAAATTTTGGAGCACTTCATGCTTCCTTCTGCTGACCAGCTTTTTGACGATGCTGATTTAATTTTCCAGCAGGATTTGGCACCTGCCCACACTGCCAAAAGCACCAAAAGTTGGCCAGCAAACTCACCAGACCTGAACCCCATAGAGAATCTATGGGGTATTGTCAAGAGGAAAATGAGAAACAAGAGACCAAAAAATGCAGATGAGCTGAAGGCCACTGTCAAAGAAACCTGGGCTTCCATACCACCTCAGCAGTGCCACAAACTGATCACCTCCATGCCACGCCGAATTGAGGCAGTAATTAAAGCAAAAGGAGCCCCTACCAAGTATTGAGTACATGTACAGTAAATGAACATACTTTCCAGAAGGCCAACAATTCACTAAAAATGTTTTTTTTATTGGTCTTATGAAGTATTCTAATTTGTTGAGATAGTGAATTGGTGGGTTTTTGTTAAATGTGAGCCAAAATCATCACAATTAAAAGAACCAAAGACTTAAACTACTTCAGTCTGTGTGCATTGAATTAATTTAATACACGAGTTTCACAATTTGAGTTGAATTACTGAAATAAATGAACTTTTCCACGACATTCTAATTTATTGAGATGCACCTGTACAATACTACACATACAATAACAGTAAATAATTCAACAGTAACTATACGGTTGACACTCCAATATAGTACATGACAATACAGTACTTTAACTTTGCCACCATTCATAAAATAGATTTTTTGGTTACACTTTATTTTAAGGTGTCCTTGTTACAGTGTAATTACACATTTAAGTAGTGAGTAATATTAATTAACTACATGTACTTACTATATGGTTAGGGTTTGTCTTAGGGTTACTTGCATGTAATTATGCATAATTTATTGTTATTATAATAGTAAGTACATGTAACGTGTAACAAGGACACCTTAAATTGTTACTTTTTTTTTTCTATAGATAATATCATTGTTGTAAATTATTTTGGCCACAGTAATAATGAAGTTCAAATCTGTTGTGACCCTAATTTCTGGTTTTCTATGGTAACCTTGTCATGCATAACAAAAAGACACTTTTCGTGTAGACAAATCTAAATACCCCCCATACTCTAGAGCATACTCTATTACATTTCATTTTTGTTTTGTGAACATATTTTTCTTATTTGTTTTCATATTTTGTTGTGTTTGGCTTTGTTTCTTGTTTTCTGCTTTGCTGTCAAAAGAAAACAGGCATAAGTACCAGCTTTGCCTGAGCATCAGCAATCTTTCGGTTGTTTTCTTCCAAAATTCTCTCCAGCTCCTCTCGCTTGGATTTTTCTTCCACCTAAAGGAGTGACATGGTGACATGTTAGGGTGGGGAGACAAATCCACAGAAATAAGTCCCCATAAACCCAGTTGCACACTCAAACACGTCTACACTCGCACAAACAGGAACCAGCCAGCGACACTCGCACAGTCTCTCTCACCCACTTTCACACACACTCCACATTTCACATTCCGATCTGCAGCATCAAATGTCTGAAGCTAACCTCTATGTATGCAACAATGAGCACAAAAACCCACCCACGGATGTATTCAGTCACACCTTTAATCCCCGCCATGTTATATGTAAATACAATCATCCAAACATCCATTTACGCATTCATTTACATCCATTCAGAACAGGTATGTATAGACAACACATCGACAACTAACGAAGAATCTCATTCGTTTGCAGATGGAAAAAAAAAAAAATTTAATCATTTAGCTCGTTCTCTCTCTCTCTCTCTTTATACTTGATCAGCATCCATAAGCAAAAAGTTTCAAAAGAAAATGAGAGAGACAAAGAAAGATTAACTTAAACAAAGGAGAGAGTGAATAGTAGTGGCTCACCAATGCTCGTATACCTACGCCTTTCTCCTTTGACTGTGTACTGTACCTACACAACTGCTGATTAAAGGGGTGAGTATTTACTGCCTGGTCCCGTGTGTCCCGTCCTGGACAGCGCAGCACCTCCCCTTTAAAAATTTTTGAGCTGCTAGCACGAGCTAGTGCTCTTACACAGCAACACCACATGCAGTATATATAGCACAGTCCAGGAAAATGAATTATGTTAATCATACAACATTACCGTGTGGGGACGTCAGGCTATTAACGTTAAACGATGTTAAAGACTGCAAAAACACAAAAGGTGGGATCATTCATTAGAAGTGTTTGTTTGAAAACAAAAACAGTGATGTGTTGGCGTCTAAGCTCAATGGTACAGTAGCGTTGAGTGTGGATGTAGTAGTGTGTGTCTGTGTTTTTGCGTGTGTGTACCCGTACGGCAGCACTCCTGAGGAAAAGCAAATCGTGAGGACACAGAAGTACATTTAAAACACTGCACTTTTACCGACGTCAAAACGGAAGGGTCAAAGAAAAAAAAAATGTTAGAAATCTAAGAAAAAAATAAATCAGCAATTAATAAATATAAAACATATATGACAGAAATGGATGAGCAATAAAGGGAAGGGTAGAGCGTTTTGTGATTGATGGTGCAAATGAAGACAAAATCATCCTAAATCTACAACAATACGGATTCATTTAATGGTTCAGTACCAGGGCTACAGATGATGGGCACAAATCTAAAATGTACAGAAGGAGGGCACATATCTAACCCTATTAGTGCTGAGCCGCTGGATTTTGTGTGCGCTTGTGGAATGGAATTAGTTTCTCGTTCATAACTCATTGCGTCTTTACAATTACAGCACAGTAACCCTCCTTTATGGTATGGGTGGAATTACAAGCTATGGATTTAGCAAATTAACAAGTTGAAGTGCGGTCTAGTGGCTACAAAAGGTCTTATGTGTTTGTAACATCCAAAGCAGAATTACTTCTTGACCTATCAAAGTGTATAATTGTGGATGTTCATACTGAAAACTCATACACAAAAACAGACCTGGTTTGAATGCCGAGTGACCTTTTTTAAGAAAAGCGTTTTATTGAAGACAAACAGTTTCATACATTGGTGACAGTAAAACGCTAAAAGATATGAGTAGTAAAGAGAGCAGGGTAGGGGTGGAAAATAAAAGGGGAGAGAAAAAATGGGAAACATAATATTGGTCCATCACAGCCATGGCAAAACGTTGACTTAAAACCCCCGAGAGTGCACTACAGGTGTGTGACTCAATAAAATTGAAGAATTACAGAAAAAGTGCAGAGCTTGTCAGTCAACAGAGTAAACGCGGACTCAATCACCCAATGTCCTTAAATATTAGTGTTCCCCAGACAGCAGCTCAAAAGAACTGCTCCAAGCATCACATCACACCTTGAAAAAGTCGCATTTTGTAATTAATTTTATTCCCCACCCGATCAATCAAGCTAGCCTGTGTCTCTTGATGTATCTCGTGGAGAAACAAGTGCCAGGTTGTGCCACGGCTGCGTGGCTCAGCTCCGCTGCGTTCCGAACGACCGAGCGTTACCTCTCTGGCTTTCTGGGCGTTCAGTTCAGCCTGCCTCTGCCTCTCTAGCTCCTGCAAAAGCTGTGCCTCCATGATGTGCTTGGCCTCCTCTACCCGCCGTAACACCTCATGCTCGATCTCATCACGCCGCTTCTCAAGCTCCTCCTCTACACGCCGTGCTACAAGCTCCTCCACGCGCCTCGCCGTCTCCTCCTCAATCAGACGCTCCTCGATCTCCTGTTGACGGCTGTAGAGGATACGAGAAAGAAAGGATCAAACATTGCAGTTTTATTGGCAGACCCTTAAATTATGGAATGCCAAAGCTGACTTAATTAAAAATAAATAAATAAATGCACAAAGAAATGTAAAAAAGCAAATATAAATTTATAAATAAATATACAAAGATAAGTAAAAAATAAAAAATAAATAATTATTTATAATTTTATTTCCTTATGTATTTTTGTATTTTTTTCGACATTTATTTTTTTTTTCCACATTTATTTATTTATACATTTATTTATTTCCACTTTTATTTATTTTCACATGTATTTATTTATTTATTTCCACATTTATTTATTTCCACATTTATTTATTTATGCATTTATTTATTTTAACATTTATTTTATTTATCTTGATTACAAGAAAAAAAACTATTGTTGTTGTGATTTATTTCTTGTTTTTTTATTTAATTCATAAGTTAACACTGCAAATTAAATGGTTTCGTTTTTTTCTGCAGTCGAAGAAAGTAGCCTAAATTATGTCAGTGATTTCTCTCATTTTAAAAATTATCAAGAATGATTTTTTTCCGATCTGCAGTCTAATAAAAGTTAAGAAAATTAGCCTATAGATCTATAGCCTACAGGCTAATTTAATTCTTTCTTAACTTTTAACTTCTTCGTGCCATCTGCCAGACTACATCTCACCAATAGAATCCATCAAATACTAGTAGACACCATTATAGTTTACATTAAAACCAATACAATTCCCATTATAACCCTGAAATCCATTATTATCATTATAACCCTCCCAGTGTTTTGGGAGGGGTTCTATTTTTATTTTTTTCAGCAGGCAAGATTATAATGGTATAACTACTTTTACAGAATTAATTTAATGAATTTCACAGAAAAGATTTGTTTATTTTTGATAAATGACTTGGTCGGGTCTTGTGATAGCTGGGGGCGCGGCTTTCCCGCTGACAGGAAATGCATGGTGTAAATCCAGTATGACCTACGTAAAGTCACTTTTGCTGTTCAACAGAGCAAGATACATAAAAAACTGAGCTGTATTGTCCGTACAGTATCTGTGACTTTACAAACGACCCAAAGGAATGGCCAGAGGTGTCATTTCCTGATGTAATTTTTTGTAACCCGATTGAGTCTCCAGCTAGAGACAACTGTAATATCAGTATCCCATGGTCATCGTGAGATTATTCACTTTATCCGTGGAATAAGGGCTCGTTCTTTTGATGGCAGCTAGTGTTTATTAGGATTTCTAACCTGTAACTCGGGAAATGTAACGGAAAAAAAGCCTATCGATTTTACTTAAAACCAATTAATTTGGCTTAATTCATCAAGCCCTGATTTTAGACACACATGAGATAATATATTTTTGTAAACGTTTAAGCTGTTTTTTATTCAGCTACCGCCCCACCAAATACAACACCGCGGACAACACAGTGCTTTTAGCTATTGAAACGTTAAGGTTTGTTTTACTTTTCTTAGTTTGTGCGTAATGTGCGTAGTATGATTTCTCCATCCAGCTAGGTTCTTCTACAATTACCCCATCAACTTCGGTCAGAAATCTTGGTGTAACCTT